CAACTTTGTGGGCATACAGTCCTTTTTTATCCTTTTGATATCTATGAGATTTGTAGTGATGGCCACTCTTTTGTTTCTGATAGTAGTAATTTGTCTCTTCTTTTTTTCTTGGTTAGGCTGGCTAGAGGTTGGTCAATTTTACTGATCTTTTCAAAAAGCTTTTTTTTTGTTGTTAATTTTTCTGTTTTCAATTTCATTGATTTCCACTCTTTTTTTCCCCTTGTTTTCTTATGCTTGCTTTAGGCTTAAATTGCTCTTCTTTATCTAGTTTCCTAAGGTAAAAGCTTAGACTATTTATTTTATATCTTTTCTAATAAATGCGTTCAGTGCTATACATCTTCATCTAAGCACTGCTTTCACCATATCCCACAAATTTTGATGAGTTACTCTTTAATTTTTATTTAATTCAAAATATGTTTTAAATTTCTCTTGAGACTTTGTCTTTGACCTATGTGTTATTTAGAAATACGTTATTATTTCAACAAGTTTTGTTCCATATATTTTGGGATTTTCCAGCTATCTTTCTTTTATTGATTTCTAGTTTAATTCCATTGTGGTCTAAGAGCATACTTTGTATGATTTCTTTTCTTTTTAAATTTGTTAAGATGTGTTTTATGGCCCAGAATGTGGTCTGTCTTGGTGGTATATGTTCATGTAAGCTTGAGAAGAATGTATATTCTTCTGTTGTTGGGTAAAGTATCTTATAAATGTCAGTTAGATCCAGTTTGATTAATAATACTGTTCAGTTCAGCTGTATGTTTACTGATTTTCTGCTGCTGGGTCTGATAGAGGGGTGTTGAAATCTTGGTAAGTAACTTGTCCAGGGCACAAAACTAGTACGTAGTTATATTTCTTTCCTATTGCTGTTGTAACAAATTACCTCAGATTTAGTGGCTTACAACAACACAAATTTATTATGTTACCATTCTAGAAGTCAGAAGACTGAAATGGGTTTTACTGGGCCCATTTACTGGCTGCAGTCTCTCTGGAGGCTCTAGGGGAGAATCTGTTTCCTTGCCTTTTCTAGCTACTCAAGTTCACCTACATCCCTTGGCCCAAGGCCCCTCCTCCATCTTCAAAGCATACCATTCAACCCCTGCTTCCATCATCATGTCTCTCTTTTTCTGACCCTCCTACATTCCTCTTTTATAAGGACTCTTATGATTACATTGGGCCATCTGGATAATCCAGAATAATCTCCCCATATCAAAACCCTTAATTTACTCACATCTGTAAAATCCCTTTTATCATACAAGGCAAAATAGTCATAAGTTCTAGGACTTAGAATGTGAATATCTTAGGGGTGAGGGGGATATTATTCAGCCTACCATGGTAGTAGAGTCAGGATTGGATCTCAGCAAGCTTGCTCTTGGAACTGTTTCTCTGTTCTGCCTTCCACATCTAAATGTCTACTCTGTGCTATGTTTTAATTTGTCTATGTTCATCTCTCCCACTAAGTTATGGCCCTCCTGAAACAGGACATGTAGCATTTGAGTCAGATGAGTTCAGATAAAGAAAATGATACGCAATGAGGTTGTTCTGTGCCATCAAGTTGATTCCGAATCAATAGTGACCCATTAGGACAGAGTAGAACTGCCCTGTAGGGTTTCCTAGGCTGTAATCTTTACGGGAGTAGCTTGCCAAGTCTTTTCTCCTACAGAGAGGCTGGTAGGTTTGAACCACTGACCTTTCAGTTAGCAGCCAAGGGCTTAATCTTTGTGCCACCAGGGCTCCTTATGGAATGATGAGGCATCAGTAATAGAGAAAATAATGTTCTCATTTGATCCCCCAACTCTTTTAAGGTTGTGTGTGTGTGTGTGTGTACGTCTGTTCATCTGACTGACTTGCAGTTAACCAGGCACCTCCTAATATTAATCTAAGTTACAAATAAAGTATTAAGATAAATACATATATATGTTTACATTTAAGTAGTCACCTGTATTAGATAGCTAGCTCTATATCTCCACCATTCCACCAAACTACTCTTACAGAACTGTAATGCATATGTTGAACATGATTTGTCTGAAATGAAAATTCTTTTAATGACTTGTATTGTCTTAATTTTGGAATTCTCTTTTTGTGGGAAAAGAGGTGAGGAGTAAAATATATTTTAGAGATGCTTTATGGTATTACAAGTAATTTTATATAGAATAAACTTGCCATTGAGGATTTGTTTTTACCAGATACTATTCTTCTAGTTACCTGACAGCATAATGAATAGTTAAAAGCCTTTATAGTTTCTTATTTTAACATATTCCTTTATTCCTGGAAGTACTTTGTGAGAATTTAACTGTTAACACAGGCTGCTCTAGTAAAGGACAATGTGAAACCACATTTGGATAGTGTTTTCATTTTGCTGGTAAATTTAACTGTGTCTAGGCAGTGTATGTGAGCTCCACCCATACTTGAACCTGTTTCCCATTTTGATGAAGTCCAAGCAGGGGAAAAAAAAGAACAACAAAAAACCTTCCTGTGTGGCCTGTAGATATCAAATCTGAAGATTATTAATGCATTTCCAGCTAGGGACCATAAGCAAACAAACTCCCCTGCAGATAACTACACCCTTCCTGTTTTGGGATTGAGTTTACCGTGGAACAGATTTCGGAAATAGGTTTCTGACAGCTGTGAATTTTATTTATAAAATGTTGGAGGGTGAGGTTCTTCCTTTAACATAAAATTAATTATTTCCTGTCTAATGCCCAGCCAGTGCATTTTAAGAAGTCTTTTTAAAAAATTTACCCTGTAATAAAGAATTGTGTTGCTTTCTGCAGTTCTGGTTGTTCTTGTTAACTCATGTATAAAATTTGTCTATTTCAATGAATTTAATTCAAAAAGACTTACAGTTAAAAAAAAACACACACAAACTTTAAATATTTTTATTATCTTGCCTCCAGAGTTACTGTTGTTTATGGTTTAAATAGATGTATGAATGCATTTAAGTATGGTTTTATTTTTGATATGCAAATCTGTAGCATATTTATACTCTCTAAATATGCTGAACAAAGTTACAATTTAGGTAAAGGAGCAGATTTACATTAAAGAATTTGCAGGTTAATTCACAGTGTGACATTATCCTCATCTAGTACATCTGATATAAAGAAGCCTATAAAATTTAGGCCACCCACAAAGTGGTTTGCAGAGGCCTGTGGTTGGTGTTAGAAAGTTATTATGTGGGCTGACTGGTTTGGTAAGGAATTTACCTCCACTAAGGCTGTGAAACATCATGGTTCTGACTTTCCCCCATGGGGACTGCTTTGGCTTGACTTAGGTACTATGTGTTTGTTAGGCCAGTCATAATATATGCTATGTTGCATTGACATCATATGTAATATTATGTGAATACCATACTGTTTTCTAAGTTGGTTTATCAGAGTGTTAATACCAATTTTGGGTCATGTAAACCTTAGGATAAACTGGGATAAATGGTTGATTTAAATTGCTGAATTAAACTTTATGGCTATTATGAGTAAATTTCATCACTATTTAGAAAAATGTATGCACGCGCATGCGTGTGTGTGTTAGTGCTGGGATGGAGAAGGCAGCTAGGGGTTTTATGTATTTAATTTCTGTGTCATTTGAAGGAGTTATCCTTTAAACTTCTTTGGGGGCATGTCAGTGGTTTTAAAGAACAAGGAAAAGAATTTAGTACTATTTACTAAGGCCAGGACTAAGAGTTAAAATTAAATAAATATTCTTCTTTAAACAGTTTTTAAGGGATCAAAAACAAATATTGCAGATATTTAAAACAACACAGCCACAACCACCACCACAACTAGCAGCAGCCGTTTCAGAAACAGAAATTATCATAAAGCCAAACAGTGGCTCCAAACGCTTGAAAATGCTTTTTATCAAAATGAACTAAATCATTTTTTAGAAAATAAACAATGTTATTTTTATTATGAAATCAGAAAAATGAAAATTAACAGGTATTTTAAGTCAGATAAATTTCTCGTAATTTGCATGGGGACTTAACTAATTTTTCTTTAAATACATGAATTACAAAGTATGAAAAAAGGCACTGAAATCTTAAATGTATTTGGGACTACAAATTAAGAGAATGACATTTAGTGTGGCAGACACTTAGCAATTTTTGGAGAGGAAATATCAAATTACCATGAAAAAATTTAATATACATATTGAAGTTTAAAAAAAAAAAATATATATATATATATTCACATGCATATATAGATACATGTGTGTATTTATGTGTGTGTATAAACATTGTTTTGATCTTAACCCCACCTTGACCAAATCTATTGCCATCGAGGTGATTCCAACTCATAGCAACCCTATAGGACAGAGTAGAACTGTCCCGTAGGGTTTCCAAGGCTGTAATCTTTATGGAAACACACTGCCACATCTTTCTCCTGTGGAGTGGCTGGTGGGTTCAAACCACCAACCTTTTGGTTAGCAGCTGAGCACTTTAACCACCACGCCATCAGGGCTCCTTTGTGGCTTTAACTATGGTTAAATATTTATGAACTTGAAACTTTTTTTCCCCCAAATAAATACTTTCACATTCTTATAGTTGTTTGCTGTATACTAAAAGGAATTTTGAATATGTCATCTATCTGGTCATGATTCAAACAGAGAATCTGAAGTTCGGGGCTCAGAAATGTTTTTCTTCCAGACAAATAAATGAGCAGAGCCATTTATTTATGTGCCTTCCCAAGCCTTTGTTCTTTGTTCTTAGCTCTTCTCACCTCCAGTCTGATGTCCTTTTAGTAGTTGCCTGATACTGATACAAATGCCATGCCAAACCTTCTAAACTCAGTCATGTGGTGTATGAATGTTTTTCTCCTCATTCAAGTTGTCAGCAAATCTCAAAAGATACAGATTTAAATGGCCTCTGGCAGTAGTGACTCTGAGGAACAAGAGAGGTTCGCCTGTATTATTGCGTCTCCCTTTTAGACTTCAGTACCATAAGTCAACAGAGTCAACTAAGTGTTTGGCTAATTATTTTCACTCTTAGCTAACCAGAATATATTTCACATTTCTAGGTTTACCGACAAGACTGTGAAACATTCGGGATGGTTGTGAAAATGCTGATTGAAAAAGATCCTTCATTAGAAAAGTCTATACAGTTTGCCTTGAGGCAGAATTTACACGAAATAGGTGAGCGGTGTGTTGAAGAACTCAAGCATTTCATTGCAGAGTATGACACCTCTAGTCAAGATTTTGGAGAGCCTTTTTAGAAGATTTCTTGCTCAGGCAAAAGAATGTTTCTAGATCCTCCCGCCCCGCCCCATACCCCCCGCTCCCCCCCCAACCCCTGGATTGTGTAAATCCTTAATATATGGAATTTTTGCGATGGAGAAAAATACTTTATGATAGTTGACCACATTTCCAGTATCAGATAAACATCTATAATAGTTTATTTTAGATTTTTTATTATCTACATGTAGAGCCTCCTAATCTGTACTCCTTCCTCCCTCCTCCCCTTTTTTTCCTCTAAAATGATGTGTCAATTAATTCTTCAAGCTTTGGAAAAGCAGTCCTGGAGAACAGCTGTCTGTACTTACTCATGTTCTGTAGTCTTCCACAGTATGCGATCATTTGTTTGGTCACAGGAGTGTAATTTACAAGTTGGAGATCATTCCACTTGAACATCAGTAGTCTTTTTGCATTTCGTAGTGAAAATGTTAGAATTCTGAGTTGTTGTTGCTTACTTATCTTAGGCATGGTAACTTTTAATATGTTAATGTATATTGTCCAAATAAACTGAAGTGTGTTATTTTAGAGAATATTTGCTTTTAAAATAATTTTCATTCAGTGATAAAATTAGGACACTTAAATCTCTAAAAGACACTTCAGGATAAAATCTTTTTTTTTTTTTAACCAACTAAATTTACTCAGTGTCTTCTATTAAAGTAATCTCGACTACTCTCACTGATGTGTGAGTCTTACACAATAGCATATTCAAGACTAACAGAAAAGGGTCAGTTTGAGATGAAAGAGGGAGGGATATTTTAAAGTTTGGATTTCTCAAAAGACTTCTAATCGAGAAAGAAAAATTTAGAGAATATGGGAGAATGGAGTTTTATTTTTTCCATAGGTCTGTACTCCTCATCTTAAGAAATAAGGTAATTGATGTCTATCTAAGAGTAAAACTATTGACAGATTATTCATTTGTTAATCTGTTAGTAGTCCAGTGAGTTCCTTTTTCTGTTGCATTTTTTAGAGGTTCTTAGCCCTTTGAAAGTGTTCTTGAAAGGAACAAAGCAGAGTGGGCAGTAAACCCAGCATAGTTTACCCCTTGATCAGCAGTCTATGTAAACAATACTTCATGAGTGAGCTGTCCAAATCACGGGTTAGTTAGAATCTAACTGGGATGATGAGGATATTCTGCTCATTTCCTGATCACTTCCAGCAGCCCAGTGGCACTTAGCCAAAATATATAATTTTGTGCCATTAGTTAGTGAGGAAGCCTTAAAAATCATGTTTGTTATTACTACCCAATTTCATTATCCTCCCATTCTCTTTCCATTTCCACTCTCTTTGCACTTGAATTCTGGCATTATTTTTAGTGACCTCTGTTGATAGTATCTAAAGAGCCACCCCAGAGGAGAAAAAATTTATATTAAAAGTAGAAATAGCAGTATAAGTAATTTTAACAGATCCTATGATGGATGCCTCAAAATATGTATTATGCCATTCCACAAATTTAAAAATTGAGGGCAACAATTATTTTTTAAATTTTCCTAAATTAGATCACCTTTAATTTTTATTTTTGCCATTTAGATGTCGTATTTATCTAATTTTTATAAAGCATAAAATATCTCTTGATATTCTTCCCTAATACAAGCAGTGACTTTGTTACCGACTTTAGAAAGACTAAGAAAGTACTAAACTTTTTTTTTTCCTCCCCCCGCTCAATATTTTTCTCCTGAAATATTCTAGTTCCAGGATTCAGTTCACTTAGTCAAGATGTCATGAGTTTGAAAATAAAACTTGAGAAACTACCATAGAGGCAAAGGGGTTGTTCACTTTGCTGAAATTCATTAGAGAAGTTGTATTAACAACAGATGCATTTAAATGTAGGGTCAACAGATAATTTCTTCTTTTCCCCTTCCCCCAAGTTACATTCAGTATGTAAAGCTGTTTATAACTTGCCATCAGCATTATTTTGGTAGGCTTGTCAGTGTTAAATGTGTTATTTTTTTTTTTTTAAGTTTTTTACAGTCTAATTTAGGATAGATGAGTTCAGATGTGTACCAGAGTACGTATTTTGCAAAATGTTCTTGATTAAAGGAATTTGTTTGTAAATTATCTGTTGTTTTTCAGAGTATCCCCAATTGATGTGATAAAATTTTCATTATCTCAACATAAAGCCTTGATGATCAATGGGGGAAAGCAGATATTGTGAAGCTTTTTGTGAATTTTAAAGTGCAAAATAAATAAATAAATAATTAGATTGTCTTTTCTCTTATTTCAATAGGCTTAAAGTGTTTTGCTAAAATGTAGCATTTATTACTCTTTACTCTTTCCTTAGTATTCAGTTCACCTGATCAGCAGCAGGACAGGAGGAAGACTGAGAATTGAGAAACACTATTAACTTTGGTGACTTAAGGAGTCTTGATCTCTGAGAAGGCAGTTAAACAAGATAAGAGGTGCCTGACATACAGTGGTGCTCAATAATTGTGTGATTGTGAATTTGAATTTCAGAGAATTGTAGAATTGGAAGTTTACATCTTTGTAGTAACTCCTTGAGGACAGGAACTATATTGTCTTTGTGTCCTCATTTCCTAGCACAGTTTGGAACATTGTAGGTACTCATATTTGTTAACTTAAGGTGGCTTCACAAGGGAAGTGACATTTGACCTGAGTCTTGGAGGAACAGGATTTATTCAGACAGAGAAGGGGAAGTGTTGAAGTCCAGGAGGAGGGAACAGTGTGAGGAGGGAAAGGTACAGGCTGGCATGACTGAAGCTGGTGGGGGAAGATGATAGGAGATGAAGGTAGGAAAAGGTAGGTTGAGAGCAGAACGTGCAGGATTTTAAATGGTTGAAGTTTTACCCTTTCTCTCTTACTTAAGAATGCAGTGTGAAAAGATTACCTATGTATTATTCTTGCCAAAAATGTTGATTTCTTGTAGTTCCTCAGCCACTTCCTAGCCCTGAGCCAGTTCACAGACCCAGAACCTCTTGAAGGAAGGGGAGGCTAGATCCCATTAAGGAAGGACTCTGCTACACTGCCAAAATGAATACTGATTTCAGCTTTACTTTAGAGTTTCCTTCAGGGGATCCTAAGTGCCAAGGAAAGCTCTGACAGTTCTTTGGCTACAACTTTGGAGATGGTGACTCGGTCATCCCTGAAGTGTTCATGGTAGACAGCATAGAATGTTGCAGGCAGGCAGCCACCCAGGTGGCTTTACAGCTGTGACACTGCTCAGGCTGGGGCCTGGAGCTCTATGAGTAATGGCCACACTCCACTTGCCAGACCAAGGTTTGTGGGTTATCCATAGTGTGTTTATCATCTTCCTGCCAGTACTCTTGAGAGCACTCATATTACCTAATTCAGTGAAAAAGAAAAAAAGAACTAGTAACTAAGGTACTTAGAAGAATCTATTCTCCCATTTTCCCGTGGTAATAGAGTTGAAATTGAGTCACATGAATACCTAACTAGGACTACATTTCCTATGTCCCCCTTGTAGTTAGATGTGACCAAGTTCTCTCCTATAGAATATCAGTGGAAGTACCTGCTGCTTCCTGGTCTGGGCCCTTAGGACAGTGGATGTGTCTCCTCCATGCTCTCTCTTAGCTCTTCCCACAAGTAGCAGCAACCCAGCCTTGACTGTGCAGACAACAAGGTCCTGGGAGATAGTGGACCCACAGGATAGAAGGAGCCTGGATCCCTAAGTGACCACATGGAGTACTGAGCTGTTATGTGAGAGAGGAATAAATGTCTTTGTTTCTTAAGCCACATTATTGCTTGGTTTCTTGTTACAGTAGTTTACCTTTTGCTCAAACTAATACCAGTGGCATTTGAGGATTAGTTTCACTGAAATTGGCCCTCAGCAGGCTGCATCAGTTGTGTGTTTTCCACTGTAATAATTGCCCTTGGGTTAATGGGCACTGACGATACAAAAGGTTTTGCCAGTCCACTGAGTTGGAGTTTCAAGCTGTGTTTAAAATTCATTTGATGACAGATACTGTTAAAGCCTTGTGTACATTTGTATGACGGTAGAGACCATCTGATTCTATAGCACATTGTTTTGTGAGCTCTGCTCCCACAGATTAATGGTGTTCTGATGCTAGACCATTATCATTAAAAATGTATAAGGTTGTAAAGTTTTTTCCCAATTTTTAAAAACTTTGTATTCTACTTCTCTATGAATTAGTAGAATCTGGTATACCATATCGAATACAGCTTAGAATATAGTTTTTTCAGTTTCAATACACCAGATATAGGATTTTAAGAAGCAACACGTCTTTCAATTATTTCACTATCTGAATGAGGTTAGAAGCACCATTCTGGTGTTTTTTGGTTCACAAAACACTCTCACATGTAATCCCCGACTGGTAAGGATTTTATTCTCATTTTACAGCCCAGGGCGAGAGAAGTTATGACTTGTCCAAGGTCATATAGCTAGTATGTGGCAGAGCCTGAGTTTTACCCAAATCTTCCAACTCTAAGCTCTGTTCCTAGAAGAAGTGAAGTTTGCTGGTCATTCAGAACAAGGTTCAAGTCCTGACTCCAATACACACTTGTTTGATCTTTGGCAAATTAGTTTTCCATTGTTGTATAATGTATGTTCGGTTTATCTGTAGTGTAAATGTAATGTATAAAGTGAATGACTCTACAGAAAACCTTTGAGAAAATTCAAATCCTAGTTCAGAAGATTTTTCCTGTTTTTCACTTTATCCTCAGTCGCTAGTAACTTCCAGATTGGTTCCTAGGACTTCTGACTTGGAGCTATTTTAGAAAACATCTTGGAGGTTCGTAAGGAATGGTTGTAAGAGGGCAATTGGCCTCAGACTCTTGGGCTGCTGTGCCCAGATCCATGGTGGAGCTTGAGAAGAGCCATTTAAGTGCAGTGAAGCTGGTAGTTCATCTCTCCTGTTTTAGGAACCAAGATTAATTAAACATAGTTAACACCTTTTCAGTTTTGTTTACAACATGTTCAGAGATTCAAAACTAAGATTGCTGCCAGTAGCAGCCTTCTGAGATGTTAGAAAAAAAAAAAAACCTTTCCTCATGGTAATTTGGGGAAAATAGCTTGCCTTCCAGATACTCTATGCAGTCCCCAAACTGTATACTTAATGAAGATAAAGTCAATGAGGGATATGCACTGAGGAGATAATTATCCCCCAACTTCTTTCTCATTATTTAGTTTCAACCTCTTGCCCACTCAGAATCCCAAGCATAAAAGAGCTCCAACCTTTAAAGTTCCCGGCTCCCATCAGCCATGGTCCTTGGGTGTCATCTTTTCAGAGATCCTTGCCAGACAAATTTGTTGGTAAGTGAAAGAGAAAAGGCAACATTTGCTGAGTGTGAAGACTTTTCTGTTGACCACCCTAATATATTAGCTCGGTTCAGTTTCCACAGAATACTGCAGCTGGAAGGAAACCTTTGAGATGGTCTAACCCTCTCATTTTACACAAGTGGAAACTGGGTCAGAGCACTTAACTTGCTTGAGTTAATGAGAGGTGGGTCTCCTAACCCAGATCTCTGGAGTCCTGGAGTCCCTTGTGCTTTGTATTACACTGCAAGATCTTTGTAGTGGATTTATTTTAGGTTAGTAATTGTCTTTTCCAATGTCAGTTGCTTGGTTTAGTTATCCAAAAACACAAAAGCCATTCTCATTTAAGAGAACTGGTTTCATATTCTTAATGACATTATTTACATTATCTGAAATCAGATGATTGTGGAGAGTTGCTAGTTACTTCTGAAGTTGGCATAATAGCATCTTGTGCATATTTGTATAGCAGTAGAGATGTAGAATTTCTTTTGCAAAAAGAAAATTTGAGGCTAAACTTGATCCCTAAAATGGGAATACTAGGTAGCTAGCTGTGTTCAAAGAGAATTGGCTTTAATCTTGTGACCAAGTCTGTATATTCCCAATGTCTTACTTTTCCTCCACACTTCCTTCCCAAACCATTTTGAAAGCCACCCTTAAACTTGATTTCCCTGGTAAAATTTATGATTCTGTGACCCTGGCAAAATGTGAGATAAGGGCTGCAAAATTCAGTTGCTTCTGCTCATTTCTCCTTGGCCCAGTTTACCTGGAAGCCTTCCTAATGTGTTTGCAAGTTTGCAGAAAATGTGTTTGCAAGTTTGCAGAAAACCCATGTGACTATACATACAAGAGGCATGCCTTCTGTTTTAGATAGTTCTAATGAATGGCTAGAGAATCTAACTAGGCAATTAGCGATTTTCTCATTTGACTAATGAAAAAGGATTTTATCATAATTGTGTTACTAGCATTGAATTGATAATGAGGCTCTTGGTGGAATTTTTCTTTTATCCTGATTTTTATTCTTTGTGCATCCATAAGGGGTCACATATATTTATACAAACAGTAATTAGTTGTGCCTCCCCTAGACAGCTCTAAGGGATAGGTGAATCAGCTTCCCAGAATTTATAATAGGGGCTGGAAACTTGTTGATGACAGGCTGATTTTGTCCACGTGTTTCAGAAATGTTTGAATTAGTTGCTAGCATTTAAAAGGTGAGAAAATTCACAACAGTTTATATTCCTGGCTTCTTTTGAAAAACCTGAAGGTCTGGCAATACTTGGTCTCCTTTCCACAGCCGTGATCAAGTGTTCACTAGAAAAAAGCAGCTCAAGAACCCAAAGTATGCCTGCATGATGTTCATAATGCCTGTTTTGAAGTCCTCTGGGCATTCCTGAAACATGTCCCCAGTCAATACTTCCCACATGGTTTAAAGCTCTGGGTCCCGTCACCCAAGGATACAGAGATCTAGCAGTCTTGGGTACCCATTCCAATTGTACCACCTTTTAAGGCCCACGATTCTCATCTAAAGTGAGAGGATGGAGGGTTAAACAGCAAGTGGTATCTCCTTTCACTTCTGGTATTTTTAACTCAGGAACCAGAAAGTAGCATGTAGGGAATAGCTAATGATGATACACAAATGAATCTTTTTTTTTTTTTAATCAGAGCTGAAAGGAGCTCATGTTTGCATCATTCTGCTAGGTTCCCTCCATGGACCTTAAGCAGAATGTTCTCCATTGCCTGGCAGAGCTGGAGGCTGTATATGGTCTGAACTGAGGAAAATGCAACCATCTTCACCCATGTAGAGATTACAGGCAGTGTTCTAACATTTGATATTTATCTTGGGACCAAAGTTTAGAGTTTAGTGACTGACCAGATACTGTGAACTCTCATTAACTAGATCTATTAAAACCTTTTGGCAACTGCTTTTTCTTGCCTACTTCTTAACGGAACTACAAGGCAGTTGCTTCCTCCTTTGTAGGTCTAGTCTTGTTATTGCTTACAAGCCAGGAACTGAAAGTGTGAAGGTTAATATTATCACTGTGAATAAACGTTTTTGCATTTCCTTACACCTTTAGGAATCTATACAACCCTTATGTTAAAAAATGAAGAGATGACCAGGGTAATTGTTGCCAGAAGTAAAAGCATCTTTCTGAGGGTGACTTGAAAACTACTGAGGGCAATGCCTTCAGCTTATACCTGCATTTCCTCCAGATTACAGGTTACCTATTTACTAATTTGTTGTCCATTCTTTTTAAGCAATATGTTGCAACAGTCTTTTCTAAAAGGATACCTATTGTTTGCAGCATAGGTTCTGAAAGGCTCTTCAAAATCAAGAAGTTTGCCTAACACATTACGTGAAGTTGTGATGGAGCAAACAGTCTCGTACATTGTTAGTTAAGTGTAAAGCAGCAGAATTTCTTTTCCAGGAAAACTGGCAACATCCATCACAGTTTAAATGCATAACCTTTGTCCTTGTAATTCACTGCTCAAAATTTATGCGCATATGCACAAGTGTGGATAAGGTAAGGATAAGGAGATTCAAGTCACACCAAGGGATTGGTTATCTAAATTATGGTGTATCCAAACAGTGGGGTATTATGCTGTCAATGAAAGAATGAGGTAGACCGATAGGCACTAATGTGGTATGTCTATATATAAAGTGAAAACAGTAAGTCACAGTGCATACAGTTTGCTAACCACTTTTGAGAGAGATACAGTTATGTAAATATGCTTCCAACATCTCGTGAAATATACACTAGAAATGGATAATACTGATTAATTCTGGGGAATGGAACTGGGGGGCTGGGGATTAAGAGCGGAAAGGAGACACTTCACTGCTTACCTTTTGTTTTGTTTGAACTTTTTACCATGTGCATGTATTTCCTTTTCATTGCTAATGTTTTTTAAATGCACCAGACCAGGAACTGATGATAAAATTATTGAGTACAGAGCTTTTCTACCATTGCTGCTTTTCTGAAAGTGTCTGTCTAGCCCAGACACAAAGCCTTACTCTGTCCAGGGATGGGGAGGGGAGGTTAGCTGACCCACTGGTTTCGCTATCAAATTGATGGAACTGATGTCTGTCTACCCTAAGGCCTAACAGCTTTTCCTCTGCTCTGCTAAGTACAAACAAATTTGCCTCAGTTTCAAGTCTGTAGGAATCTCTGGGTGATGCAAATGGTTAACATGCTCCGGCTGCTAACCAAAAGGTTGGCAGTCAAGCCTACCCAGAGGCACCTCAAAAGGAAGGCCTGGTGACCTTCTCCGGAAAACTCAGCCACTGAAAACGCTATGGAGCACAGTTCTACTGTGACACATATGGGGTTGCCATGAGTTGGAACTGACTCAACAGCAACTGGTTTGGTTTTTTTGGTTTTCAAATCCTACCTAAGAAGCCCTGGTGGCACAGTGGTTAAGCACTGGGCTGCTAACCGAAAGTCAGCGATACGAACCCGCCTGCGGCTCCACGGGAGAAAGATATGGCAGTCAGCTTCCATAAAAATTACAGCCTTGGAAACCCTATGGGGCAGCTCTACTCTGCCCTATAAGGTCACAATGAATCGGAATCAATGCCACAGCAATGGGTTTGGTTTTTGGGTTTTATGTCCTACCTACTAGTAGGGGATGACTGGACACAGAGGAGTCAAATGGTGGTTGATGATAGAAAGACTGCAAAATAAGTCATACGTGAACAGATGAGCAAAATGGAAGTTACCTGAATATATTTGCAAAGATTTGTATTCAGAAATGTAGTTTGCTATTTATTAAGCATTTATTAAATACCTCCCTAAAGGTCCTCAGATGCCACTAGGACCTTTAGTTAGAACTGAAACATATGTGCGAGAATGGCACATATCAAAATATAAACTCATTAGTTCAAATCCAACATAATTTTCCCTTGAACTAGAACCTCATATTTAACTTGAATAGCAGTGGCACAGCATCCTCTAATGTAAAGATTTTAAAAGAAAAACATAACCAGAAGACTCAGTTTTCAAAATTGCTGTTAAAGGTCAACAAATTAGCTGGAAGGGAGGGATAAAAAAGAATAACTTTCCTCACATAATACATCTACAAAGTCATCTGCCACAAAAAGCAGATCCTTGTAGTTTTGGTCTCTTCCCTTACCCTAAAAGATAATCACCACCTTGCGGAAAGTGAAAAGGCACCCCTCACCCCCAAAAGTGGAGGAGAACCACTCACCCAAACAGCTTCTACTTGTTTTTACCATATATTCCACGGGTATGTGTGGGTTTTTTTGTTTGTTTTTACATTTATGCAGTTTACATTGCTTGACCCATAAATAACACTCGTAAGATTAATAGGGCCATAGTTTTAAAGAGTATTTACATAGCCCCACCATGCATACAGAGCCTTTTTGATATTGGGAGAAAAAAAAAAAAAAACCTGAACTTTCCATCACTAAGCAATATAAATTTGACCGTCTAAGCTTATAAACCCTGACTAAAATACAAGCAATCATTTCATCCATAAATGCTGTTGCTGGGTCCCTAAACAAATCTAGTACTGCAGTGTAACAAACATCTTGCAATTCAGGGATATAAAAATATCAGCTTTAAAATCTGAACTGTACAGTATATACATTAATATTTGCACCGTTAAATTAGGAATACACTTAAGTCTATGAAATACTACATTATAAATAGCAATGTTTTTTTCAATCTGTAGCTGGAGCTAATACTCCTTAGGGGAGTATTCCTTAGCTGGCTAATGAGGGTTGAAAGGGGACAAGTTGGCCTCGCACGATATGGTGCACAGTGTTAGCTAGGTCAGAGTAACTATGTGCATGCCTCACAAGACAAACTGATCAGGACCCAAGCCAACATGGCTAACAGGAATGACAAACACTGTTGCTTTACAAAGGTGGCTGAAGTTCTCCATCTTCTAAAGTCAACACCCCCATCCATTCACCTTGCGACAGTTTCTTTAGTATTCTCTTGGGGATCGGAGACCAAAGCAGCTATATAAAACTGTAATGTACCCGATAGGCACGAGATGTCACGTAAACCTGGCAACATCCAAGGAGAATAAGCTGGAGAAATCACACCTTCCAAATGTTAATCTGACACTGTAAACAGCAGTCGGGTTCTCATTTACATGGGCAAAGCACTTTAAACTATTTTAGCAACTTTCCTATGGAAGAAAAAGCATAATTCAGATGGTTAATGGCTAAATTTAAACAAAGGATCTCCACAACTACTAGGTTATGAAATAATACAGTTTTTGCCTTTGTGTCCCTTTTTCTTCTTGGATTTAGTTGTCCTCTGACCAAACTGAGGGGTAGGGAGTGCAGAAGTTGGACTAGAAAGGTCGTCTGTATAGTAGGCATATCTCTGTGGCCGTGGTTGAGGGATTGGTTGTCCAAGAAAATAACCTTCTTCTTCTGAGTCGGAAGAGGAGGAGGAAGAACACCAGGAATCATCATCCTCACCGTAGAGTCCTAGGAACCTATTCATTCCTGGGGTCTGTAGTGCATAGTCGGAAGTGGCATGGGCATACTGTCCATAGAGATCAGCATTCTGTATGTATGCTTGGATCTCCCGGGCACTTTTGTTCTGTATAAATTTCTCATAGTTATCTGGGGTGTAAAGCCTCAGTCTGTCCTTAGGGGAGTATTTTCTCTCTGTAACAAGATTCAGGGCATTGTCAGAGCGAGACTTTCTACTTCTTCTGCGGCGATGATGATGCTGAGACCTGGATCCCCTCTCTTCGAAGTGGTAGACCCGTCTCCGAGTCCTCTCACTCATTGGAGGCTGCCGGATTTCGATGTTGTCGTAGCTTCCATTGTCAATGACGTCATCCGAAAACTTGACCTGCTGTGGTCTGGACTGCGACTTGGATCTTCTGAGCACTGGCAGATGCACTGGTTTCTCTTCGGGCATGATTTTTTCTGGACACAGCTCTGAACTTAGACTCTTCAAGGACTCTGCACTCCTGTGCAGCATGGAGGAGTTCAGAGTTCCCATATTGCTCATTTTTTCACAATCCTCTGCCTCCATTTCCTCAAAGTTTTGCAGAGAATATAATGACGGCCTTGGCTTACTTTCCCCATCCACTGAAGCCCCTAGAAGAGAGGACGTGGCAAGATGTGAGTCCCAATAATCTTAACAGTCTAACAATTATTACAAACAAGCTACTGAAAAGGAACTTTTTCAAAGAAAATTATCCCAAATTTCCAATATTTGATTAACACCCTCTAGGGGAAACCAACTTGCACATATACTGACTGAGAAGAGGAAAGAATTTTATTATCAATACAAGGGGCACAGCCCAGCTGTTCTGGAGCCAAAGATTAGTTACAGCAAAACAAGAACAGCAAAAATTTTCAAGGTCTTCATAGAAGCCCTTCGTTAGTTTATTAACATAAGGTGTAGAAGCTTTGCCCCTCAATCAATTAAAGCCAGACTGCTTCATCTGGACATCTCTCAAATCTATCCCTTCTTTTGTATCCACATGGTTACCATTTATGAGCAAGTCCTCCTCATTTTCTACCTAGACCAATGGTTAGCAAACTAACCATTTAGTTTGCTAACCACTGGTCTAGGTGTAAGCTGGGGAGGACTTGGCCAAATCCAGGGCCAACTCCAGCCTGCAGTCAGTTTTGTAAAAGGTTTTACTGGAACACAGCTATACCCATTTGTTTATGTACCATGTATGTTTGCTTGCTACAATGGTAGAGTTGAGTAATTGCAACAGAGATTGTATGGCCCACATAGTACTATGTGGCCCTTTATGGGAAGAAGTTAATCAGCCCCTGATCTAGACTATTATATTGGTTTCCCTTCATCCAGTCTTCTCCCCCTCCAATCCATAAAATAATATACCACTACCAGATTAACCTGACTTTAAAATTTTTCTCAAAACTGTTATTGCTCTTCTTTGCTCATATCAGGGCCCAGGTAAGGTAAGATATCCCAACAGACTCTAAGAGACAATATGGAGGGCTGTGAATTATCGTCAGTATTTTCTAAAGGGAGCCTGTTTTTCAGCCCATTATTGTTAAGGACTATCAGCCCTAACACTTAAACTTCTACCAAATGATGTCTATTTTTATTATTAGATGTTAAGACACCTAGCATAGTGTCTGGCACAAAGGAGGTGCTCAATAACTTCATTTCACCCACCATTCCTCCTCAAGTCCCCTCTATTATCTTTGACAAGTCTGTAGAAGCCAGGAGGGCAGCATTATCTTATCCCTCCTTGCAACTGCAGTACCTGGCCAGGGTCATTTTTGGTAGTGGGCAGCCACTAAGGCCTTTCCTGTCTATGTTATACTTAACAAAACCTTTATAAAAGGACTGGATGCCGTTAGTTTGACTACAAGACCAGCCGTGTAACAGCAACATTTCTATATCCAAAGACTTATGGCAAATAATAAGATCCAGGAGAGCTAGGTTCTAGGCCCAATCTTGCCTTTAAAACCTATGTAATATTGGGCATTTGACCTCCTGGTAATTCAAGTTTCTTCATTTATAAGATGCAGTAATATCATTTACTCTGTATGGCTCAGGGTTGTTTTCAGGACATAATGTAGATAACTGATCTGGATGTGCTTTGAAAACATTAGAGTGAGATTATTTTATAATCTGAGTAAAATACGTGTAGTTATTTTTAAGCTGTCCACTGCCACAGGGCAATTCAGGAAAATGTAAAAAATGTTATGAGCATATAAAGTGTGCAGGCCAATTTCAGTATCTTAAAATTCATATAGCATAATCCAAAAACTACAGTATCTTTCAGTACAATCCAGCTGCATACTCTATTACCCAAAAACTTTAATTAGGGGGGACACGTGTAATCTTCTTGCTCAAGAGACCATTGCACAGGTTAACTCACTAATGGTCATAGACTTAGCTAAGTTTACTTCACAACCATAGAAATACCAACACCAGTTAAACATAGCTAAAGTGCTTTATTTCCATAACCTGAAGGAGAAAATTTTTGGAGTCAGAGAGGCCTGGGTTCAAATCACTGCTCCATTATTTATTAACTCTCTGGTTTCAATCAAGTTTTTTATCCAATTCTTCCTCTTTAAAACAAGGATAATACCTATCCCAGAGGGTTGTGTTGAAAATATAGTTTACACATGCACACACAAGTACTCACACATGCATATATACATATGGGACTGCTACAGTGTTTGACATTTAACAGAAACTCCTTCTTCCTTCCCTTGGTTTATAGTTTTAAATAACATCCCTACTGATGCTGAATTGTAATTTTTTAAGTACACTTTTTAGTACCTACTCCTTCAAATACCCCATAATCCCTAGATTACATACCTGTGATATTGGACAAAGCCAAGGAATCCATAGAATCCCGAACACTTTGTTCTGGTTTCAAGTCTGACAAACACTCCAGGGAATCTTCGTACCACTGTGTTTGATCATGATTATATCCTGAAGCCCCATGGTCCAGATCCAATTCCTGGAGCCTCCTACTGCTTGCAGGGCCTGGGTGGCTGCCATAAGCAGAATCACCCAGTCCGTCCTGTGACTGTGCCCAATACATATCAGATTGGTATTTTTTACTTGCAAGGCTCTGGTTATTTTGCTTTAACTCGGTCTTATTTTTAACCATGTTATCAGATATCCAATGCTCACTGGCTCGAATATCCATCTCATTGGGCTGCTGCTGAAAGAGGCTTTTATCACCAAACTTGAGAAGGAGCTGGGTCATATAATCTTCGTGTTCAGCCCATTCTTCAGGGTCTTCTGGGGTTTCATGCTCTACTCTGCCTTTCCAAAATTCTTCATTGACAAAACCTGCTCCTTGCCTGGTGAGACTCAAATCATCCAATTTCCGAGAAAGCGTGTCATCAGCACTGCCTGAAAGGCCAGGAAACTTGTAGTTCAGAGCAGGGGACAAGAGCAGAGACTGTCTGCACTGATCTGCTGACCGACTGCTCTTCCCCATTCGGACACTTCTTCTGGAGTCTCTCGAGCGAGCTGACTGGAATGCAGAGTCAGAGGAATCAGAGGCGTGGACGTCTTCACCAAGGCTGCATGTTTTCGAGCAATAAATCTGACCTTGTTTCGGAAGGAAAGGACATCCCAACAAAGAGGCTTTACACTGGGCACAAGAAAAGCATGCTTCTGTCGCGTGCCAGTGCTGCCCGTCATAGGTCATCTGGGCGTGATCGACACCTATTTCGACAAAGGACAGAACAGGTTATGGTACAGCTTGACACAAAGGAAGAAGGAAGAAACGGACAGGAAATAAGGACTGTGAACATGAGGAAACTCTCTGGGGTGATGAAAATGTTCTGTATGTTGATAGGGGTGTAGGTCATACAGGTATAGTCAATCCTCACTATTGGCAGGATTCTGTATTTGCAAGTTTGCCGACTTGCTAAAATTTATTTGTAACTCCAAAGTCAATACTCGTAGTGCTTTCGCAGTCATTCCCAGGCACGTTCAGTGCCGTGTGCGTGTTCCCAGCTGAGGTCAAACGAGGCTGGCTCGGTATTCCCTCATAGAACATGCTGCTGTTGAGCTGGTCCCCAACTCATGGTGACCCCAGGCACAATGAGATTAGACCATTATGATCCATAGGGTTTTCGCTGACTGATTTTCAGAAGTAGATCGCCAGGCCTTTCTGACTAGCCTGTCTTAGTCTGGAAACTCTGCTGAAATCTGTTCAGCATCACAGCAAGATGAAAGCCTCCACTGACAGGTAGTGGCTGTGCTTGAGGGGCACTGGCTGGGGATCGAACCTGGGCCTCCTGCACGGAAGGTTAGAATTCTACCACTGAACCTCCACTGCCCCAGAAGAACAAAACTACTGCAAATAAGGAGAATCAACTATATATCCATTTGTCAAAAACTCACCAAACATTTCAGAAATGTACACCTCATTGTACATAAATTATGCCTCAACGGAAGAATTAAAGAAAAAATAAGACTGTGGATGATCACAGACAAATGGATATATGACAAGGCAGAATGGTTGCACTCACCAATGTGTTCCCCGCAGGTTTCACAGTATTCTGCATACAGAGACTCAAAACAGCCACAGCAGAATGGGCGGCCATCCTTCATGATGTATCTCTGGCCTCCTAGGACCGTTTCACACTCAAGGCAGCAAAAGTGTTTCATGTGCCAGTGGCGACCCTCAGCTTCTGTGCACTCATCAGCAAAAATGATCTTTAAAAACACGAAATAAATGACTGTGAGCTATTGTTGAAGGCCTGGTAACCGCATGTTTTCTGAGCAACTGACAGATAACACTGGCTTTTAAAAGAATCACATCTATAACTAACTTTGTTTCTTATACAGCCAAAAGCTGAAATCTAACTTCATTTCACTAAAAACAAGAGCAGAAATTGGTAACGTTAAAAAAGAGAATCTAAGTGCCCACTTAAACTTTAAAAAATAAAACATATTTCTACATTGGAGCTAATTCATTTGGTCATATGTTTGACCTCCCAATAAGCACTGTGTCGGCACAGTCTGAACATTCTAACATTTACTGATCTGTGTTTTAATAGAAAGAAAACGTATAAAAATGTCTGTGGAGGCAACAGAATCATAGCTATATGGATGCTACGTTAATGTGACCAGCACTTGTGTGCTTTGTTTGACCTAGTGGCCATCTCTAGTTCGAACACTTCAAATTTTTTATATTTTTGGTTTCAAGAAAATTTTCCAATAGCACCTCGTTGAAAAAAAATTTTAAAATCAAGAAATGTATAAAAGTAAAAATTGAAAGTTCACTGCTGCAGATTGAAGAAGACTAAGGAGATATGATGAACAAATCCAATGAGGTAGCCTGGATTAAACCCTGGAATACAGAGAGGATACTAGTAGAAAATCTGGGAAAATCTAAATAAAGTTTGTAGTTTAGTTAATGGTATTCTACCAATATTAACTTTTTATTTTTGATAAAGGTACCATGGCTATATAAGATGTTGACATTAGGAGAAGCTGGGAGAAGAATATACAGAAAATCTCTACTCTCTTTGCAACTCTTCCATAAATCTAGATGTTGACATTAGGAGAAGCTGGGAGAAGAATATACAGAAAATCTCTACTCTCTTTGCAACTCTTCCATAAATCTAAAATTATTTTAAAATAAAAAGCTTAAAGACAAAAAAAAAGTTTCCTTTCACACCACCATCCTTCTCCACATGCACTGTGGGTAATAACTGTTAACCTAGCATGGGTCTTTCCGTCTTTTTTCTGAGCATATACAAATATGGGTACTACATTGTTTTTCTTTATTTAATAAAAACAAGATCATGTGCTACATATTCTTCTGCAAATTATTTTTTCCTTGCAGTACATCAAAGACATCAAACTTATCAACGCACAAAGACACCTGCCTTTTCTTTATTAAAAAAAAACCAAACAACCAAACCCACTGCTGTCGAGTCGATTCCAACTCATAGCGACTCTACAGGACACAGTAAAACGGCCCCATAGAGTTTCCAAGGAGCGCCTGGTGGATCTGAACTGCTGACCTTTTGGTTAGCCGCTGTAGCACTTAACCACTACACCATCAGGGTTTCCTTTTTTTTATTAGCTAAATATTATTCCATTATATGAATGTACAAGGGTTATCTTAAAAATCTACATATAGAGCGAAAACCAGGAGATGTTTATATTTTGCTTAGATATGACCAGTGGAATATTGGCTTACTAGAAGCTCATTTTTTCCAGTGTTAAGGGATGAATTCTTTTACCTCGTCACATGCTGAGCACCGTGGTTTGAGCAGTTCAGCATGGTGCCTGCCACAGTGAATTTTTCCATCCTGATAAAAATAGATGAGGTCGACCAGCAGCTCATTACACGTGAAGCAGACAAAACAGGATGGGTGCCAGCACACTCCAGGGCCCGCGCGAGAGGCAAACACGGCAATTTCACCACCATTTATCTTCAACCCACACTAAAAACAAAAAGATTCAAATTGAAAATGATCCTTTTTAAATGTCAGGGTGCTCAGCCTTTCCCATGTTACATGAAATGCCACATTTGTCACGAGAGCTTTCGTTTTGTCCCCCTTCTGTTAGTGATTAAATGGCTCTTTAATTCCTTTTTTTGTGGCTCTCAGCTGCAGTGAACATGCCTCAGGTACACTACAAGCCTTCGCTATTTCTAAGCTCAGTTTGAATCGGATTCACATTTAACAGTGGTTTTCCTGAGCCAGCCTCCTGTTGGATACATTTCCTACTCTGAGAACTGCCAGAAAGGGTCTGAATGTCTTCATTATGTGTCTGCATTGTTAAAAAATCAGGTGTACCCTAGCACCTCCCAGCCTGCCAGGATCCCACAAAAGGTAAGACTATCCCATGTTTACCTTATATAAGGCAGAGTGGCTCCCCCGTCACACGCTGCAGGGGAGCCAGCTGTAAAGATTAATCCATATGTAATAAACAGCTAGGCTGGCTTTCTTTCTCTTCCTTTTTGGAGACTCTTGGGGCTCATGTCTGTGCCAGCCCTGCCACGTACACTGCCAACTCATTCCATCCATACAACTGCCACGAGTTACCCAATCTATGAAGGGTTACCTGCTCACAGATGGCGTGCAGAACTGCTCTGGACAGAAGTTTGATTGTCCCTCTTCCGAGGGCTTCTTTCTTCCGCTGTGCACTGAACACCTGCAGCTCCTTTTTCTCTTCTTCACTCAAAGACTGGCAATACCGCACCTGTGCAGAAAGGAAAGCAGAAGCACACACTGGAGCGGACTTCCTCACAAGTCTTCCTTTCTAGAGTTGGATTTTCATGCAATAAAACAGCAAGTTTCGCTGGCCTGCCTCATGAATCCCCACTTTTAATGTGACACCAGGCCTAAATCATTCAGCTGCTCTAGCAAAAGGGAAGTGCAACTGGAAGGAACAATTTTTTTTTAATAATAGATGTTTAATTTAAACCCTTAGCAGAGATATTAAAAACACTGTAAAATGTTAACCTTTCTACAAAAGGGTTAAACTTGGTAATTGCCACTTCCACTTGAAATTCTACAGGCAGTCACTTCATCCTGAGGCCTCAACTACCATAAAGCATTCACCCTGTTCGCAGGGGCAGTGAAATCTCAGGAATTTGTAGGCTCCTGATAATTGGTGGGTGGCTCCAAACACTAAAAACTGACTTGTGTTAAGTTTATTGCACTAACACCCTCTTCTCTTAAAGAACGGAAAGCTGTATTCTCCAGCCAAATTTGAACTGAAGAAAGGCAAGAGAGCCCTAACCGATGTGGTTTATGAGCAGCATCTCAATGCTTATCATATATTTTCTTTTTTCTTCTAATTTCGCCTTCTTCCTGTTATTTTACCTCATTGTCATGCGGCGGCAACTGGTACAAAAGCTGTTTAATCCGATGTTTCTCTCCAGGGCTGTTAACGTAAGGAACCTTTTCCTCTGGTAAGCAAGCAAAATAAAGCTGGATCTGGGCAAGAGATGTAGAGAATGACATCAGCATACGGAAACGGAACACCTTGGCTTATTCAGTCTTTTAAAAAGCGACTTTTCCCTTTAGGCCCAAGGATTTGGCCTCTGACAGGATTTGGCTTCTCGTAGCTAATGAGAAGACCAGCTGAGCTAACTCAGCAGAACTGCAAACCTGCAGATAACTAGCACCCAGCTGCTAAATTGCTCTTCAGGAATGTAATTTGTAGTGACAATTAGGGACATCATAAATTATGCACCATAAAATATGCACATTTAATGCTATTATTCCTCAGCCAATCTTCCAAGGGTGAGCCAACTGAATGTCCTGGGTGGATTCTGCAAATGACCACGCAGGCTGTGTGACACTGTCTAAAATCAGCCACTACATAAACACCTTCAATTTGCTCCCCGAATTTTACATGTTACACAGACAAAAGCTGTTTTGTTAAACTTTGTAAACTCTCCCTTATCAAGTTCTCTCAAGCATCAGCTTTCCTTGCTTCTACGGGTGTTGTCTTCCAAATACCTGGAGTTCACTTCCCCAAGGAAAGGCGAAGAGCCATATGGAGCTGTACTTAGTTCAGTTTGAAAGGAGAACTCAAATGTTTTTGCTTTTTTTTTTGGTTGTTTTAAAGGAACATCCCTTAATGAGCACTGCAAAAAATACTACAGGGCTTAGAAAGAAAGAATGAAAGTGATTAAAGGAAAAAAGACAGGAGATTAGGGAATGTGGGGCCTGTCTGCTTCAGTATCTTAGTATCACACAAAACCTACCCACCCTAAGCTTCTCTCTAAGTAGTTTGCCAAAATATTGCTTTTCTAACTGCTGCACCAGGACTCCCCACCCCCCATTCTGTCAGCTATAGAAACTTTTTACAGTTGTAAACACTTAACTGAATACCAGCTATATGTGCGCCAAGTACTGTGGTAGGCCCTGGACGAGTAAGGACACCCTATTTGCAAAGGGGTATGGGTGGCAATGGTAGTTCAGTGGTAGAATTCGCCTTCCACTCAGGAGACTCAGGTTCAATTCTCCGCCAAAGCACCTCAAGCGCAGACACTATCTGTCAGTGGAGGCCTGCATATTGCTATGATGTTGAATAGATTTCAGCAGCGCTTCCAGGCTAAGACTAAGAAGAAAGGTCTGGTGATCTACTTCCAAAAATCAGTCAATGAAAACCCTATGGATCACAATGGTCCAATTTACTACCAATCATAGGGATGGCAAAGGACTAGGCAGCATTTCGTTCTGTGGTGCATGGGGGTCGCCATGAGCTGGGAACCGACTTGATGGTAGCTAACAATGACAATTCTCAAAGTAGTTCCCACCATATGGGAAACATCACCGAAACTCAGAAGCAACTACACGCCCAATTGTCACCTTTTATTTCAAACCTTGACTCTGCCCTTATATAATACCTAGCACCAGCAATTTTAAACAATTTCATCGTTATAAGGATTTTGGAAAATAAAAATAGGCATGTAGATATGTTCTCATCTTCCCTTAAACAACAATATAACCAAAACACAAAATTAACTCTCTTTTTCTCAATAAACATGGTGTAGTGACAATATTCTTTTATATGGAAAGTTATCAAAGGTCAAATTTCTAAGCAGTAACACTTCAGATTACTTCCTGTAGCTCTGTAGATCGCTCTTCCAAAGCAAATGCATTGCTGGGAACTGGCATGGAACTTTCCTCTTTCCTTTTATTACCTTTTTGTTGTTGTTATTGAAGTTTTCTAAAAAGGTTAAATTCCTCTCACACCCTCAAAACTACTCTCCAGAAATACACATAACAAATGTATGCAGTACTCTGGATTTTATTCATTAGGACAAAAAACAGCATCATTACAGGCCTTCTGGCTCCAGGAGTGCAAAAGACATGAAAAACTTTCATCTAGAAACTAAGCATGACCTTAAAAAGCAAAAACAGAGTTGCACTGATGTTCTCTAAATTAAAAAAAATTAAATCATGTTTGAAAACCAACAGAAAGCCTCAGATGATTAGGTTCCTACCTGTTCTGGTCTGAGGCCCGGGGGGACCCAGGCGTACTCCTCCAGCGCACAGCCGGAATCATCATCTGACGTGGAACTTCTCTGACAGCCAAAGGCGAGTTTGCTCATTTTGGGCTCCATCTCCAATGGCATAATAAGAAAGTTAAAACACTGGTTCCTCAGTCACTGGACATCAAGCAATGGCTGCTGTGGACAACATAAGAAAAAACAAAGACACTGAAAACTTAAACCCATTACTCTTACCCTCCAGTTTTTATTGAACGCCTATTTACACACATCTGGGCTCAGGGTAAGTAACCAAATTACCAGTATCATCACCCCCTTCCCCCAAGCCCAATGAAACTTAAACTCTAGGGCTATACAATTCAGAAATGGCATCCTTACCAGCTCAGTATTCCAGAAAATGCCACCAAATCTAGCTTATTTCCAGATGCCTTTAGTGGGTGCCTCTTTACACACTATTCATTAGAAAGGTTTTCAAGAAAATTGCTTTGCTGACCTTCTAACTTCCCACAAATGAAATCACTCTGCAGCCATGAGTTGTAGAAGGAACAGCGCCACTAGCCTTGTCCACTACTCCACGCCATGAAAATGGCTCCAGACACCCCACATTTCCTAAGTGATTTTCCTAGCCTTGTCCACTACTCCACGCCATGAAAATGGCTCCAGACACCCCACATTTCCTAAGTGATTTTCCTAGCCTTGTCCACTACTCCACGCCATGAAAATGGCTCCAGACACCCCACATTTCCTAAGTGATTTTCCTAGCCTTGTCCACTACTCCACGCCATGAAAATGGCTCCAGACACCCCACATTTCCTAAGTGATTTTCCTGACAAGACAGTGTGGCTGGCACAGGGTGCAGAGTGGTCCAGTGGGCCAAACAGCTTAGGCTTCAGACTTCTAATAAAGTTTTGTTAAGACACTAAACTTAGTCTACTCACTAAAACAGAAATAACACAATTCAGTGTTTTTATGTCATTAAATCCTCAAGCCTTTACTATCTAAGAGCTAAAGTCTGCCAGAAGCTCTAGATTAAAATAAAATCCAGCTTGGTGACTATTAATGTGTGTTTGCATTATAAACAAACATCAGTTGAAAAATTATGCAGTAGCTAAAAACAAAACAAAACAAACAAAAACCCACTGCCACCGAGTCGATTCCGACTCATAGTGACCCTATAGTCGTATCCTATGCGGTACCTGTTATGTGTGAAATATGCTGGCAGTCAGCGATTGGGCAAAGTAAGATTAAATTCTCCTCTGAACGAAAAACCTCCTCGGATCAAGGGGGCAACAAGGGTGTCAAGACAGCACCCCCTGCCCTACAATCCAGGAACTTTGTTTATCATCACCCCAGCCCTCTGCCTCTCCTCCCAAGGCACTAAGAAGGAAAAAAAAAATATGCAGAACTTTCAGAATCAGATATAGCTTTTTATACCTACTCTTTTCCAAAAATAAAAAGATTTAAAGAAAATCATAAATAATTAGTCCAAGCCAATCATTTTAGAGAAACAAAGCTCAGGAAAGTGAACTGCCCGAGGTCACACAGCTAAGAAACTTTAATCTAGTCATACTAGATGCCTGACATGTCAGACTTCCAAAGACTCTTCTGCTTTAATAAATTCATTTGCTTCAACAAGTGGAAAAGGAGTGAAAATCTGAACACTTTCAGGCCAGGACTATGTCATTTTTCAGCGACTTTCTCAATGCAACTAGAGATACTTTTTGCTGTTGTTAGGTGCCATCAATTTCAATTTGTAGTAAGAGTTAGAAAATGTTAAGTATTAAAGACAATGATTATTGAAACTTACACTTTTTATATCTATAAATCGAAGAACATTAAAAAAAAAAGATGTAACTTCAAAAATGATGGTCAAACCTCCAGCTGCTACAACCTTTACTAGAAGTAGAAGCAATGCCACACAGTAGATATTCTGACTAGTAAATTTAACTTTCATTCACCCTGAACGAAAAGTAAAGATGACCTCATTTCCTATGCTATCACTAGGAGGTTATGAGCTTTTAAACAAGTCATTTCACACAGGTGCAATTCATTCATGTCTTGACTTAGAAAAGACATGCTAAGCATAGGCACATTCCTCAATAAAAAAGGATGCGTTAATGAAAGTCAGAAATTTTCTTGGATCTAGTCTTTCCCTTTGTTTTGAAAAAAACAACTCCCACTTGTCAAAGGAAGAGAACTAGAGGTTAAGAATTTAATTAGTAACTCAAAAACCTTCACCAGGAAAAAAGGCGCCTTCCGTGCAATTTAACCTGAAACATGAAATATGAACATTTGTCCCTTGCCATATCTGTCTGGGGAGGGAGACACTAAGGTATCTGCACTCAAGAAACTTACCAAGGACATAAATATTAAACAGAAACTAAAAACTAAATGTCAGAGTATTATAAAAGAAAACATCACAAATTAAACTACAGATATTCCAAGCCAGAACAAAGACACAGATTGCCAAAGACCTGAATTACTTTTACAGCTGTACTCCCTGATTAGCCTTTTGTGGAAAATGTACAGTAAATTACTATCCTAATCAAGGTAAATCAACTTTAGCACTAAGTGCCACGATCCCCCTTCCCCCAATCATCTGGATGTGCTGGCCCCATCTCAAACCTACAACTCCCACACATTCATTCCAGCCTTTCAGCAAACTACACTGAGGACTGATTTTTCAGTCCTCTGTTTACATATTGACATTGGGAGGAGTACAACTGAAGGAGCATCAATGACAAAGTCATTTTTACCAGGCATGGCTTCCAGTTTCATTTGTTCCCACTCTGACAGGTGATTTACTCCACTGTACATAGCCTGGCACTACCTGCGTTATGGTATTTAATTCCTGTATTAGCCAACCTGATGAGGCAGGTATCTCATTTAACAGATGAGAAAACTGAGCCTCAGAGTTATTTGCTTCAGGTCAATTGTCCAAGGCCAATAAGTTAGCAAAGAGAGAGACCCTGAGGACCCAGGCTGTCTGATTTCCGTCTGTGATCTTCAACCCCTATGGCACTACACTGCCTCCTAGGGGTGGGACTTGACTGTGCCGATTTCCTTTTCTTGACGAACTGGCTACGCTACTGTACTGCAGACCTGCAGTGATGTAAGTGGATGGCAGACAGTCCACTCTTCCCATAGGAGGCATTTTAAGGAGACTATATATCTAAAAGGAGCCCTGGTGGTGCAGTGGTTAAAGCGATCAACTGCTAACCAAAAGGTCAGTGGTTCGAAACCACCAGTGGCTCCTGTGGGAGAGAGAGATGGCAGTTGGCTTCCATAGAGATTTACAGCCTTGGAAACCCTATGGGGTCACTATGAGTCGGAACTGACTAGACGGCAGTGGGTTTTGGTTTTATAAATCTAAAACAAAAAACAAACAAACAAACAAACAAAAACCATTTATACCAGCCTTTCAACAAACTATACTGAAGCCACGTGTCAGCAGAACTGTGCTCTATAGAGTTTTCTTTTCTTTCTTTTTTTAAGTAATATTTTATTGTGTTTTTGGTGAAAGCTTACACAGCAAATTAGGTTCCCACTTGACAATTTCTGCACAAATTGTTCAGTGACATCAGTTAAACTTCTTACAATGTGTCAACATTCTCATTAACTGCACCCTGATTGTTCCATCTCCAGTACTCTGGTTTCCCTGCCCGCCCCCCCTTGTTTTCTCATCTTTTCTTCAGAGTAATTGTTGACCTTTTGTTCTCCTATAGATGGTTTTTTAATGGAGCCCCACATTCATGGGTGATATCCTTTATTTTGTGTGCCAATCTCTTATTTCGCTAAAAGGTGGGATAGTTTCAGTTCAAAGTTTAAAGAGTATCTCAGGGCAACAGTCTCAGGGAGTCCTCCAGTCTCAACTGGTCCAGTAAGTCTGGACTTTTTAAGAATTCGAGTCTGTTTCTCATTTTTATCCCATTCTATCCAGGTCCATCTATTGTGGCCCTTATCAGAACAATTGGTAGTAGTAGGCAGGCACCATCTAGTTCTTCCGGTCTCAGGGTAGATGAGGCTGTGGCTTGTGTAGGCTATCAGCCTTATAGACTAGTTTCTTCTCTGAGACTCTGGTTTCCTCCACAGGGTTTTCAGTGGCTGATTTTTTGGAAGTAGACCACGAAGTCTTTCTTTCAAGGTGCCCCTAGGTGGACTAGAGCCTCCAACCTTTCTCTTAGCAGTTAAGTACATTAACCATTTGCACCACCAAGGGAATCCCCTTAATTTTATGCATTTGCATTACTCTACCATATTTGCTTCAACAGCACAAAAGGGAGCTATGACCCTTGCCATTGCTTAAGCTTTGAGTCACAATGAAGGGTCTTTCTAATGACATCTAAATATGGTTGTGTTTGGTCTGCCAAAATGCCATCTTTTAGGCCAAACATGAGACCATGGGTGATTTAGATTGAATAGAAAAATTCTATTAATTTCATTTTCAGGTATTGTCTCTTATGGTTAATCATATGAAATAGGGACACCGATCAGGTTTACAAATAAGTTGAATTATAATGAATTTCTCCTCCCTCACCAGAACTAGAATTCAAAATTGGGGTTATGATACTGAGTGAAATGTATTTTTTCAGGATGCTTTTTTGTTTTGCAAAACTGCCCTTAGATGGACAATAGCTGCCCTGCCCTGTGTCCTACACTTCATTTTTTGGTAAATTTTATTTTGATATAATTCCAAACTTTAGAAAAGTTGCAAGAATAGTAAAAGAAACGTCTATATTTTTCCATTACTCACATTCACCAATTGTGTGCATTTTCCTCCATTTGCTTTATCCAGGGCTTCGAACTGGTTCATTCTGGTTGGAACCCCAGTGGAAATTTACATTTCCACCCCAGATAAACTGAACCAGAATCTATAGTTTAAAAAGATCCCCAGGTGAATCTTATGTATAATAAATTTTGAGAATGACTGCTCTACTGGAGCCCTGGTGATGCAGTGGTTAAGCGCTAAGGCTGTGAACCAAAGGTTGGCAGTTCAAATCCACCAGCTGCTCCTTGGAAACCCTACGGGGCAGTTCTACTGTGTCCTGTAGAATCGCTAAGAGCCGGGATGACTGCTCTACTAGTGGTTCTCAGAACTGGTCCCTAACCTGCAACATTAGCATCACCTGGGAACTTGTTAGAAATGCAAATTCTCAGCAGGGGTTCGAACAGGAACTAATTGGTTCAAAACCCTGGCTTTATAATATTCTCTCTCTCTCACACACACATACTTTTGTGAGAACCACTGGAGAGTGTTTTCTTTTTTTTTTTTTTAACATTTTCTTACAGATCCACAGCTAAATTAAACATGATGTCTTTTGAAAATGTTTATTAAAAAAAAAAAACTGTGCAAGGCATCATGTTGGATGTTCGACAGAAATAGAATAACAAATCAAAATACCTCAAACCATCAGTATTCTTTGATTATTACTGTCTTAGTCTTGAAACGCTGTAATAAATGGATTGAGCTTAATCCCAAATGAATGACAATTATTCATTGACCAATCCTGTGCAACCTTGCTGCTGTTAAGGAAATGAATCAGTAGGGCTCCATCTCTCTAATATCTCTTTATTATTATGGATGTAAATAAGTCTCATTATATGGGGAAAAGAAAGTAAAACAGTTTTTATTAAGTCAGGGATGAGTCTGTTCAGGTTCCAAATAGGCAGTCTGACCATTAAGAACATATGTAGAGGTAGCAAAACCTTTAATAACTAATAACATCGTCAGAGATGGCCTTGTAGTCAAAGATAATAGGTATCTAAACTAAATTCCAACAGGTTATGAGGTCTTTGCAGATAATATTTTGAAGAGACTAAAACAGTCAAGAAAAGAAATGAATGACAAACAGAAGGGCCTGGACACAAGGAAGGTGAGAACGAAACCCCAGGTGAGGCAGAGAGAGCTGGGATACTTTTTTCTTAGAAAGACAAAGATGATCAGGCATGGGGGTGATTATCATGCACCAATAGTGGAACAGTTCCCTTTCTCTCCTTTGTCCTTCCTCTCCGGGCTTCCTTCAAAATAGTTAAATAGCTACTTCTTGCCCTTCAAAAACAAAAAAAACTCAAGAAACAAACAGCTTAGCAGATACATGACTTCTCAATCATCATATAATTGTCAAGAGAACATCTGACTCAAGCGATAAGAACAATACACAGGAAATAGAATCTAGTGCTCTCAGCATTCATAAACTCAGCCCTTAAGTTGTCATACCTTTGAAAGTCAACAAACATCTTGGGACCTGGTTCTTTAAAAGTGACAACTCTTTTTTTTTTCCCCAAAGATGCTGTAAGGATTGGAAAGAGTTTTAAGGAAGAAAAGAATTACATAACTACAAAGAATTACCCATTACCACTGGAATGCACCAACTGGCATTGTTACTTCCACTATGGCTACATAGATCTTCTTGAGGTTGACTAGCAACTTGTGGAGTAGGAACATGTTAATAACAAACAAAAATTGAATGTTGACACCTGGACTTCATCTTCTTTTTAAGTTCAGGAGGGTTCTAGCCTCCTGAAGAGCAGTGTCTTATTTTGCCAAATTATTGGCTGCCATTCCCAGTTGCCCTATGGCAGGTTCTAACCAGTACATACATAACATCCCACACCAGCACACACAGACACATACAGACACACACACACACAGAGCATGTGTAATGGTCTATGGGACATGGCAGGGCCTTTCTAGTTGCCTTAGGTAGAGCGACAATTGTGAGCACCCAGTATATGCTTGGCTGTGAGGTGCCGCTTGTTACCCAAATTAGAGTATGACCTCATTCATCCAACGCTGAGATGTAATGAGGGGTTCCTCGTAAAATTTACTTTCCAGATTCATTCACTCCATTCATTCATTCATCCTTATATTTAAAGGTCATTATTGAGCAGTTCTGAGGAATACCAAAAAGAAGATAACTGGCAATCCTTAAAAGTCTAGAACTTTAAAAGTAAATGTAGTTACTGTGATAAGAATATTCCCAAAGCTGCAATATACATTTCCTTGCTTTGTTTAATGGTGGTATGTGTGTGAATATGGAGTCCGCGTGGTGGCACAAATGGTTAAGTGCTGGACTACGAGCTGAAAGATCGGTGGTTCAGATCCCACCCAGAGGTGCTCAGAACGTAAACGGAACTAATAGGAAAGGGGAGAACTAAGTCTAAGACATAGTTTTGAGTCTCAGAGACTGAAACATGATCAACCAGTGCAGAAATACTATATAGGCAAATCAGAAAGGGGGTAAGGATTTGAGAGGTTGGGGACAATGAGTTCAATCTGATACATATGGAGGTTATAATTGTATATGAGTTCTGGTAAGGTTCCTATTAATTCATCATTTACTTGGACCAAGTCACCAAATCAAATCAGAATCATGCAAATTGAAAATGGAATAATTAATTTTCAATGCCTGCTGTTCAAGTCTAAGGCCATATTCCTTATTACAAATGCTTTTCCCAATAAAATTCCAATCCAGTTCCTATGCTGAAATTACCACAGCCCTGGAAGATCCCAATGAAAAAGCATTTCTTGTGTGAACGTGCCCAGGGGAAGTTAGAAATCCTTTGATCACCAAAAACCAGAAGAGATACTGATTTGTAAACTCAGTTGGGCTAGCATTCCCTAGGTGTCCCCTGCTGCTAAGTGCCATCCCGTGGGCCATAAACTGTTTAACAACTTCTTTGTTAACATGCTTGTTAACAAGTGCATAGAAGATGCAGATCACAGAGACCCATTCAAAAGCTACTCTAATTCTTCCGGGCTAAATGTGCAAATAAATTAAATTCAACCACAGACAAATTTGATATTACAGAAGCCTGTAACATTTTCTTTCTTTCCAATACAAAAAATATACAATTCTTATGTACATACACAATTCCTTGTTTATGATGTCCTTAACTTAAAAGTTAAATCAAGAGACCTTTTAAAGCTATAGATATCAAAACTATTACAATCAAGATTTGGATTTCATAGGAAAGAGATACTGAACTGTAACGTTTTTAAAATCTTCACACACCCAAAGAGTCCTCAGTGCCTACTGTCTGCTAAAGACAAGCCACTGCCAAGACAGCCCACTTCAATTTCACTTATACTGAAATGAACCATAAAGGTAACTGTAAAATAAAAGCATAATACAGTTTTCTACACAAACATACCGCTTATGAAACATTACTAAAAGTACTTCATACTAGCAATTAGTGACATAAGGCCATGTGCCCTTTGGTATCTTCTGCATTTTCCAGGTAAACTTCCACCAAACTCTTAGATTTACCAACAGCTGAGCGGGCTGTCATGTACCACCCAACTGCCAAGAAGCTATTTATCCAAGAGGAAATGTGGAACTCTGCAGGATTTCAAAACATTCTAACTTCTTGCACAAATACATTCCACGACAGTAAGACAGACTGCTTAACAAAAGGAGGAAATATGATGACAAAGCATGGTCCTTTGCCAGAGCGACGCTTTTGGGGTCAGATTATTTGGCAGTAAACTGGTATATAAAGACAAAATCCAAAGCGCATGCTGCAGCGTGAGGCTCACCACGCAAGGCACTGTTCTAATGAGGTCATTATTTTCCATAATGGGGGATGCAGATATTTTCTCAAAATCATGTCCCAGTCAGTCTCCTATTGATTTTCTGAATTTCTATTTTAAACGGCGGCCCAAGGAAACGGCAGCCAGACTTGACTCCAATGTACACACAGACTCAGGTTTCACCCCGTCACCTGTTGGCTCCTGAACAACACTCCTCTTTGTGAAACTTACAGCGCTCATTTGAAACAAGTTTCCAGAGAAAAAACACTTCAACAAAAGTGTTTGAGAAGTCACGAGACTCGAGTTGTAAAAACAAATTCCACACATAGCCTGGTTTATACTGACACAGATTAATGTGAAAAGCCGAGCTTTTAAAAATGGAGCGGGAGGGACCCAGAGGGAAAGCATGTCAGCCTTCTTTGGAAAAGGTCGGGGGAGAATTCATAAGGCTGCGAAGGATGGCCATCAGAGCTCCACTGGATCAACTTACCCCGCACCAGGAACAGACACCACCTTACAGCAGGCGTCAGCGCCCCCTACGCCCAGCAAAACATTGTTTCACTCCGTACCGCGGCGAGGGCTTGGGCCGCGCGGGGGCGCCCCGGGCCGCCAGGCCGAGAAAAGCAGCGGCCGGCCCCCTTCGGCGGCCCCACAGGACGTATCGGCTCTGGTCTACTGCTCTTCCCTTGTACTCTCGCCCCACTGCCTCCTCCCTTCCGCCCCAGTCCCGGTTACCAAGGATTGTACTCAAAGACCCAGCGGCAGGAAGCGAACTCCTCCTTGGCCACGACGCGGGCCCCGCAGCATCCCCGAAAAAAATCCCCCTTGTCCCAGAGATAGGACACTTGCCTTCGAACTCCCTTACCGACATACAGAAAAAAGCTTCGCACTACCTCTCAGCACAGCTTCACCTCCATTGCAGAGGACTCGACCCTGCGTCTTGACAGCGGTATCAAGCGGCCGCTGCTCCCCACGTCTATCCTCCAACTTCTGACGAAAAGCCGCCTCCTCTCAGGCGCGCACCGACGCGCGCACACTCGCAGTCCTTCCGCGTTCAGTCCCCGCCGCCCGGCTGCCCTCAAGCCCCGGGACCCAGACCGCGCCTCCGCACCTGCGGCCGCGAGACAAGCACGGCCTGCAGCCTCCCCGTCCCGCCGCCCGCTGCAGCCAGGAATCCGCGGAGCCCCCCGGCGCGCGCTCACTGCCACCCGCTCCGCGACCGGCCGAAGCTGGCGGCCCGGTGGGGGCGCCGGTGGTTTCCTGGAGAAAAAGGCGACTGGGTGCCCTCCAGGTCATCCGCGCCTCCCCATTTCCGGAAACCCTAGCAGGGCGGGGGCAGCGCAGGAACCTCACTAAATCGCGGCAGGCGGCGCCCCCCCACCGCGCCCGGAGCAGCGCCGACTCCGCGCGGCGGGCTAGGGGTCGCTACCGCCCCCACCCGCAGTGACGCACTTTCCCGCAGGCCTGTCCTCGTCGAACGCCGTTGCAGTGCAACCCTACAATTCTCACCCGCAGCGGCCCCCTAGCCAGCCGTGGGGGGTCCGCAAAAGGTCCTCTAGCTCTCCAGAGACCCTCTGTCCCCTCCGGCGTTGCAGACGCTACGTCTCCGTTTCAAGTCCCCTCGTCCAGGCCTCCGCATCGCCCACAGACCGGCTCTGCGGCTCTCCTGGATCATCTACCACCGAGAGAAAAACCCTGTCTCGGCTCAGAGCCGCGAGCCCGCCCGGGGCCGGCGATCTTCAGAAGTAACCAGAGCTCGCATTTAAAAAGTAACCAGTTCGCTTCCTGACGGTCCCACCCTCCATGGAGCGCGGCGGGCTGGCTACCAGGCTTGCGATCCCAACCTGGATCAGCTCCCCGCTCCCGTCCGCAGTAGCCCGCCCAGCCAGATCTCTCCGCCTCCCGCTTTCCAGGAACTGTCACTGCTGACCGTGCCACTGGCAGGTCTCTACGAAGTCCTGCGAGCGCGCGCACGTCATTCCTCGAAAAGTTACCCTTCTGCTTGGCTAGCCTCGCGGCTCGAGCACCTACCTCCGTCCGCCCGCTCCAATCCCGGGAGCCCTAGTGAGTGGAGCCGCTGAGATGCAAGTACCCCAGGACGCTTAAGTAGACTCCCCCCTTTCGCAGGTGCATGCGCTGGCCACACAACCCTAGGAGAATATGCAAGGCCAATTCTTAAAGAATTCATCTCCACTCTGTCCATAACAATGATGTCAGCAAATGGCATATTTAACCAAGTTCTCACTTGGAAAGGCTCATTAACATATGAATTCTCCCGTCAGGACTTTTCTTGCATTTCCCAGTGATTCCTATGCTTAGCTCTGCAGATGTATATTTATCAGTAAATAACAGCAAAAGAAAAAGAGGTCACCGGATGTACTTAAATGCATTAATAAGAGTTGTTAAAAATAATCAGAACTCACGGAAATTGGAATATAAGGTTTACTCTGAGCGGTTGTTCTATATGCATAATAGGGAGATCATTTTGACTTCAGAAAAAACAAATGGCTGGAAGAAACTAGGCACAATTGGGGTTTATAAAGAGAAGAGGAGGGCAAAATACAGAAGATCAACCATTGGCTAATCTTCACATGATTGATTGAACCCTGCCCTCCCCTTTTTACTGAGAGCAACAGATATCAGTTAACAAGATAGTCTCTGCTCCTTCACCCAGCCGTATCTTTTGAGATTCAAATTTAGTAAGCTTGGCTTTTAACAGGAAAGGATTTGGAATTTAGGGTGAAATAAAATCGGCTGGGGGGATTGATTTTGGTCAGGGATTTCTTTAAAGTGAGTATTTGGTTTCCTGGGTAAGAAAACCCTAAAATCAAGCAAGATAACTGCCATCAGTGTCTCGCTTTGACAGTTTTTACAAGGAGGTTAAGTGAATATCGTTATTGAAACACAAGAAAGCACCCATAGTTAAGGCTAATCTTGTTTCTGAGCTATTTCTAGGTACACTAAGAGAAAGTGAAGCTTGGCATTAGTTGTCTACAGAGAGGATCACTGGTGGATCACTGTTCATTTGCAAATTCTAGTTACCATTAACTGAGTCTGTAGCACCCCCAGGGAAGGGCCCCATGGCAAATATCAAGCTCTTCCTAGAGTTAAGAGGCATTATGGAGTTTTATAATAGGTTGCAGTTTCTCTAGGTCTCCAATTACTTTCTTCCCCCTTTGATTATATTTAAAGCAATGTGATTGGAGAGTAGAGGTTCTTTAACATCTTCTACACCCAATCCCTTCTTAGATTCATTACTCCCCAATCCTCCCAGCCAGCTGTCCCTCCCCCCAACTCCTACCTCCTTGTTGGTTTTAGTTACCATCAAGTCAATTCCAACCCATGTCCATCCCAGTGTGAAAACATTTGTTTAATAACAGACATCTTACTTTGATTTGAAGGGGTTTCTCTTACCCACAAGCCCAAAATTGATGGTAAAAGCCTAACCCCAAACTACAAAACTATTGCCTTTTTTTTCAACCAGGAAATACTGACTACCCAGCAGCAATGTCAACTTGCCTTTTCCAGCTCAAAAAGGGTAGTCAGTAAAAAACCTACTACCCCATGATTTAACGAAAAAGACTGTGTGCTTCCTTAATTTTAATTTCAAGAAGTCTTAGAGCTATTAATTTGTAAAAGGCCAAATTTTCAGGAGTTACTTTTTTAATGCGAATTCAATAACCATTGAATACTTTGTCACCATGGAAACTTCTATTCATTAAACAAAAAATGTATTAAAGCTTTTGTAAAATCTCCAATCCTTGGAAGCATTTTCTTTTTCTTTTTTTTTTTTTTGCAAGGAGACGGACACTTCCCTAACCTGCAAATTGTTTATTAAATCATGAAACAATCAAATATTGTATTATTGTTTCGAGCTAACTCAAGGTTTATTTTTGTAACAATTGTAACTAGCCTGCTTGAGCCACTTGTTTTTAGAAACAAAATGATCTCCCTGCGTGCATACAGATTAATTGCTCAAAATAAACCCTATGTTTTAATTATTTTTAACGTGTGCAGAGTAGAACTGTTCCATAGGGGTTTCAAGGCTGTGACCTTTCGGAAGCATATCCCCAGGACTATCTTCCAAGGCACCTCTGGGTAGATTTGAACTGCCAGCTTTTGGGCTAGTATTCACACACTTAACTGTCTGCGCCACTCAAAAAAACCCAAACCCATTGCCATAGAGTCATTCCGACTCAGAGTAGAACTGTACCACAGGGTTTGCTTGGCTGTAATCTTTACAGAAGCAGATCACCAGACCTGTTCTTCTGTAGTGCCGCTGGGTAGGTTTGAACAGCCAAACTTTAGGTTAGTAGTCGAGTGCAAACCAGAATCCTCCCTTCAAATTACCTGATGCAGTAGATTTGGAATTGTTATTCTGTGTCACCAAGTCGATTCTGAATCATAGTGACCCTATATGACAAAGTAGAACTGCCCCATAGAGTTTCCTACATTATGATCTTTATGGGAGCACATAACCAGGTCTTTTCTCCCACCGAGCAACTGGTAGGTTCGAACCACTGACCCTTCTGTTAGCAGTCGAGCACTTAACTGTTGCACCATCAGGGCTCCTGTCTCTTCTCTGTCAATTACTAGGTCTGTGCAAAATAAGGATAAATTACTTCTCTAAGGTATTAGTTTCTTAATCTCTAAAATGCTAGAGTTTGGGCTAGGTCAATGGTTAAAACTTTTGAAGAGGAAGGAACACAATCTATATCCAGCTAATACAGGAATCTCAATATAGAAACAGATGAAAAGTGAGACCTCTCTGTTGAAACTCTGGATTGGCTTCTTCCCAAACCCCTTCCACAACTACCCTTCCCAGTCTTCCAAGACAGCCCTCAGACTCCTCCACCTCAGACTGGCTGCTCCCAGAAGCTCCATCAGTGTTAATATTTTCTCGGTCTCTGTCTTAGCCATCTAGTGCTGCTCTAACAGAAATACCACAAGTGGATGGCTTTAACAAACAGGAATTTATTTTCTCACAGTCTAGTAGGCTAGAAGTCCAAATTCAGGGCATCAGCTCCAGAGAAAGGCTTTCTTTCTCTGTGAGCTCTGGAGTAAGGTCCTTATTGTCATCAGTCTTCCCCTGGACTAGGAGTTTCCCTGCGCAGGAACCTCGGGTCCAAAAGACGCGGTGTGCTGCAGGTGCTTCTTTCTTGGTGGTATGAGGTCCCCCAACTCTCTGCTTGCTTTCCTTTCATCTCTTGAGAGATAAAAGGTGGTGCAGGCCACACTCTCTGGAAACTCCCTTTACATTCAATCAGGGATGTGACCTGGGTATTGGTGGTGTTACAATCACACCTTAATCCTCTTTAACATAAAACTACAATCACAAAATGGAGGACAATCGCACAATACTGGGAATCACGGCCCAGCCAAATTGATACATACATTTTTCGGGGGACATAATTCAATCCATGACAGTCTCTTAAAACTTGATAGCTAGTTATGAAACTAATACCAGCTGTAAAGGTGTTTACAGCTCAGCTGTCTTGAATCTACAGCTCAAGTGAGGTAGGAGGGGTTATATAGGATCAGGTCCTTTCATCTGACCCATGTTCAGGGTTACACCTGCTAGGAAAAACTGGCGGCTATCTCTGTCTACCCCACTCCCAGCTATTCTGAAATAACCTCCCCCCTTGTGTTTTGTTACTTTTCATGGGCAGATAATTAAACTATCACTCAAGTACCCTGACCTTAGGTTCTGCAACTTTCTCAACTCCTGTAGATCTATGGTTTAATACAAATATTACTAAGACTTCACTACTGAAAACTGCCAAAATGTTAAGAAATGAAGAACAAGTCTTCCAATAAACATTGAGAGGTTTATATCATGGAAAGGTATCCAAGATACATTAAGTCGCAAAACATAATATATAGTATGATCACATTGTTATAACTAGTAATATACAGGTTAGCATATGCATAGCAAAGTTATTTAGAGGACTGTAAATGCCAAACCGTTACTGTGGTTTCTGGAAGAGGGCAGATTATATGAAACTGTCACTTTTTAATTATATATTTATAAAATAAGTATACATATTTTCACATTATTTATAAACCTTGCCTTTTTACAATGATCATATAAAACTTCTGTAAGCAGAGAAAGAAACAGTTTAAGGAA